TGGTAATCTCATAAAGCTCAATGTCTGCTTGTATGTCTGTCTGTGTGTACGTATGTGCGGAATAGGAAGTTTTATTTCTGAACCGATTTGGACCAAACTCGGCCCACACACACTTCGGGGCAGGGAGCGTGTCATGCTACTTCTCGTTATAGATCGATATCGATTTTGTCGATTTTTATCGATTTTTTGCAAAGTTCAAGCTACTGGGCTGGGAGTTGGCACAGGGATAAGCGAGCATGCTGGTTACGGACACAACATGAGTTTTTGAAATTATCCGTTACTCTATGGATTTTATCATTTTTTGCAAAGTTCAGCTACGGGGCCGGGAGCTGGCACAGAAGGTATAGTCGTCCTCCCCCCACTAGACACCTAGCGGACGAATTTGAATTTGAACCAGAGCGCACCGGTTGCAGCAGAGCACGCCACCTGCAGCCCTTACTTCAATCATAAACAGATTTTTTTGGGTTTTCGCGACGTTTCATTGTACTTTTTGAAGGTTAACAGTTTTTCAAATTAGGATGTAAGACTCTGCTGCCTGTAAGCGAAGTTTCGTGCTGTTATGCTCGTTTCCATTCCGGCTCCAATTTGAGCTTGTAGAGACGACTAATTCTGAAAAGAATGCTAGTGAAATCTTTTTCGGTAAGTGCCCTAAAGTGTTGCTCCATAGAACTACTTGTCAAAACTCCTCAGGTGCATCGTTTTTCCAACTTTACCTGAAAATAGAGCTAAAGAAACGAGCATGGAAGTTTGAAACATCTGAGCAACAACAAATTCGTCGATTCTAATTTGAAAGGGTGACTAAAACAAAAAAGAATCACATGAAACGACGAGAAAACACAAAAGAATACTCATGAGCTTGAAATGGATTTGACTGTGCCGCGCTCTGCCGCGATCGGCGTGCTCTAGTTCAAATTCGAACTCGTCCATTAGATGTCTAGTGGGGGGAGGACGACTATAAGTGGGCATGCTTATTACTAACACAGCGGGAATAAGGAATTGGCATGTAGAAGTGGGCACAGGGAAAGGTTGTACAGAAATAGCGATGGGACCTTCATCATAGTGTTTTGACAGGGCCGGGCGGAGCCGGTTAAGCAACCTAGTGGTATTACACAAATGGTTGATTTTGCTCAATACCATTCACAGATCTTATCTATATCTTAGCGAGAATTGCAAAAAAACATTTGTAGGCAACAGGATCCAGGGCTTTCGATCAACAACCAACACTTACTGCTTTGGTTGAGCTGTTGTATATTTTTTTTGTTCAGGTCTCGTTAGACCTCAACCCAAGAGAAACTCATATTTAACTTCTTTCACAGGATAATTCCGCAGCAAGAAATACCAAAATCGGAATTAGCGTTTCAAGCGCGTCGCGCAGGGCTCGGCACAAGCTAGCATCAAGCAAGTTTTGAAACGAAGTCCCTTGATCTTGAAAATTTCGTATGAAGTCTCCTTTGATCCTAAACCTTGAACGTAAAAAACCACAAGAAAAAAGGAAACCTCGACTGAAGAAAAACATCGCAATTTTTGTTTCTTCTCGGCCAAAAAAACGATATGCCCTCTACGTTTTTTCCGTAGTGTTCCACATTAGTAGACCCAAAAAAGAAAGTCGTGAAATTCGCAAAAACTTCGTCTGGGGGGGGGGGGTTTATTTGGTACGCTGAATACGAATATGATGTCTATTTCGCTCGGGAGTGCCATTCGTTGAAGTTACGTAGGATTACGATAGGGGTTCCAAACCCGGATTTGCCCCGAACTTCGTCTATGAATTGTTGAGGCATCGTTGTCGCTATCGAATGCAAATAGAGTATTTTATTTAGAGATTGGTGCAGATTTTGTGGCCCTAAGGAGAGCCGTTGGGACAAAAAGACTGTCAGCAGAGGACGGGGTAAAGATCCGCTACCTGCCTCCAGGAATGATATCCACGAAAGTCCCTGCGAAATGGGCTTTTCGTGCGAATAAAGTGGACTTAGTCCATGCGGTGCGATAAGATATCGCATTTGCGAATACATTCATTCCATACAAAAATACTTCAACTAACCTTTTTCCAACTTGTCTCAACCTGTTTGCTCACTCTTGCAAACTCATTTCCACCAAGTGGTCGATATCTGACTATGTTCTAATATTGCAATGTCACTCAAGTGGCTATTCTATTCTTTCCCACTTCGTTACACCTCACGGAATGCCATTCATTATCGATGACTATGCATCTAAATCACTTCCAAAACTAAAATTCATGTAATATGTGGATCTTCGCTTCAAAACTTCTGCGAATCAGCATTGAATCGAGTCCGTATGTGGAGATTTTTGCAAAAAGCAAACTTTGGCTGGAGTTGCACTGCATCTGTGAACCAAAATGCTCCTTACAAAAAACCTTGTACTACACTACAACTCAAAGAGTTTTTCAAGTCGCTAAAACTTCGAATCCCAAAAGATGACTTCGCAAGTGCTCTACATTAGCTTTTCTTTGTCTTTCAGCACTAATATTTGTAACTCTAAGGAGTTGAATGTATGGACTAATCTATAAGAAATTTTCCACGGAATTTCTCTAGCTAGCTAGCGGCACTTCAGTAATTCTTGCGGACCAAACTCAAAATTGCGTTTAAAATGCCGTCTCTGAGTTCGGTTCTACGAAATTAGCCAAAGATAGCTTCTAAGTAATCACACTGAAGTACATTTTTTTTCAAATTCTAGATTACAAATCATGAATTTGGTTCTGGTTGATGATTTGAAGAGTTAACAAACTTTATTTGTTTTACATAAGAATTTTCTGACTGACCTGATATTAAGAAGCATTTGGGTTTGTTAGCGAATATTTGGGTGAATTTAATCTTTTTCTATGTTTTTATAGCGTTTCTATGAGTTTAGAAAGAAACACTTATTTCAGACTTCATAAAAGACATGAAACTTTTTCCACTCACCTATCACCTTAGGATAGGTTGAGGAACACATTCCCAAAAAATCGCAATCAAAAATATGCAAAAAGGTCAAAAATGGGCTTAGTCCCAGCTCACCTTGCTGCTGGGAGTAAAATGGGCTTTCAAGTCCATTTAAAATGGAGGTAAATCCCATTTTGCCCCATTCTAAATGGACTTTTAACGTCATCATTTCGCAAGCGAAAGCTCAGGTAGGGTTAAATCATTTTCATTTCACCGCTTTGCCTCGTGGTTGCGATGAAAATTTTTGGATAACGCGAGCGAAAGCAGATTCCGACCACTCTCCACCGCGAACGAATAAAATGGGGCTTGAAAGTCCATTTTTCTCCATTATGGACTTTCGTGGATATCATTTCAGAAGTTATGCAGAGACTCCCTCGCGTGCCAAACCTTCTCCAAAGAATTTACTTCAGACAGTCACCATATCTCTCCCGTTATTGTCACATTTTTATTTGGCCATTCGTTTGAAACGCTGCCAGTGGCTCTCAATATTCTGTGTATGGGCGCCAGTCCGCTGATTCACCAAAATCACCTGATGGTTTACGGTGAGGTGGGTGCAGAGCTGCGGTAAGGCGGTTATGCCGTTATAAGCCTGCCAGCTCGCTGACGATGGTAAGTATGTCGGGTGTTCCACCAGCAGCTGTACCTTTCCGGGTAGGCTCTAAAGCCCGACAGTGACCCCTGATGACCGCCGGCTAACAGGTTGCTACAGCAACCTCTCCCTCTCCCCAATTTCCCTTCTTATGTAAATATTATTTAATGAATATATATAGAAACTAATGCTATGTACTCCCACACATCAGAATAGGGCCCGTATAGCCCTATACCTGACATCCCGGGGAGATTTTCTCAAGATATCTGGAGATTAACATAACATAACAAAGTGAATTTTTTTCTTCTCTTCACCCCAACCCCCACCTCCATCTACCGTAACCAATCGCGTCACGACGAATGTGTGAGTGTTTTCTTTACAATTTTTTCTTTCACATGATTAACCGAGTGCGTGTGAACAAATATTTTCTTTCCTGTAAAGAAGGAAAAATTACTATCATTTCCGGAAATATCAATATAAATCAGCTGAAAAAAACCTATAGGAGAACACCGGTGATGCGAAGAAATTTCCTACTATTTCTTCATTTTCTTTTAACAGTCCATGCGAGCAGTCCCATTCCCAAATAATCAAGTAATAATGCATTATTTAGCTCTATTAAGCGCAAATTCAAGCAGTTATGCGTAGTCGTAACCGAGCCAAATTTGTGTAGCTTTAGATTTTTCTGCGCAGAACTTAAGACCTTCCTTTTTTTTTTCGTTCACATAATTTGTTTGGTGTGGGACACACCTACGGTTTTTTAAAGTACATTTTATGTTTCCCTTTAGGATGTTCACATAATCTTTTGCAACTTTAAGGTTATTGCGTATATATTGCCGACGTTTTTGAACGCAAGCGCAATTTCTTTTTATTGCGTATATATTGCCGACGTTTTTGAACGCAAGCGCAATTTCTTTATGTATTTGGACTTGGACTTCTTCGCACTCGTAGCTACAAAACTCAGGTCTGCAGTACCAAGCGTTTAGGAAAGATAACTCTGCCTACACGTAACCGATGCTATTTCAAATAGCCAAGAACGACTTAACCTCTAAGCTATCAATCTTATGCGTTTCGCGCGAGGTCAAAATAGCGATTAATATTAGGATAGGTGTAAAATTGAACCTTTGCGACCATAGCGACAGCGAATAAATGTACGCGCCTGCCAGTCCATCTGACCTTTTTTACACCTTACCTGCGAACGTCAACTCACCAATGCGAAAACATTTAGGTAGCAATAAATCAATGCGCTTGCTCACCGCGAGTTTACGTTTCTTTTAAATTGATGCTACTAACTGTCTACTTAAGCTAGATCCACACAGATGATACTAATACCTTCATTGCATACAAAATAAATGAAAAACAACAAAATGAGATTACATGTTACTGTAATCTACCTGAGCACGTCTTAGGGCCCTTGTTAAGGACCCTACATTACTTAGATTCACAAGAGTCATGCCTTACCATGTGAAGGCTGTTATTCACCACATCGGTGAAGGACTCTGATAACGGCAAGTCTTGCCGCGGTTGACTATGGTGAGCACCCCAAATCCAAGGCGGGTGCCCACAGTAATCCCCCTTCCACTTGTTCTCAGGGAGGCCCTGCGGAATGTTAGACACACTCCGTTTGATGTCCGCATTTCGCCTTAAATAACAACAAAAAAATTTTAGAGCATTTTCCCCTTTTGAAAAAAATTTTTATCAACTCACAGCGGAGGTATTCGCTACCGTTTAGCAGCAAAATGGTCATGGTGCCATACCCCTCAGCATCGATGTCAATCGTCGTTTCGATCACGTTCTGCCTTTCCAGATGGCAGAGGATCAGTTCCTGCAGAACCTCATAGGGGCTCGAGTAGTAGCGTTCATCCACGATCCCTCGTTGAATTGGTAAATATCTTCTGGCGCTCACCAGGTCCTGGAAAAGCATTTCGTTCTCCTGAAAACATATCCTTATAGTTTACAGTTGGATTTTTTTCTAAATCAAGGAAATTCACCCACCTTTTGCAAATCCGTCATCCTGCCTTTTTCCATTTCTAACTCGCGCATTCCGCGCACTTCCACCACTATTAATTCCTTCACCTTAATAAGGTGAAGGTCAAAATCTGTCACGGTTCACCGGATCCACCCCCTCTCTATCTCAACTCTGCACTGACTATGCCATGTATTTAATTGTTCTCTCGCCGTATATCACGTGCTTACTTCAACAGCGCACGTTACTCGGAAGAACAAATTTCATCCCCACTCTACACTACATTACCTATGCCATATATCAATTGTTCTCGTCGTATGTTGCGTGCTCACTTCAACAACGCACGTTACCCGGAAGAACAAGCTATTTACACGCTCTCGGACGAGCTTCTCAAAGGATTGGAAATGTCGGGTGTTCCCAAGCAGCTGTCCCTTCCCTGGGCAGGCTGTAAAGCCCGAGCCGAGACAGTGACCCCTGATGACCGCCGGCTAGCACGTAGCTACAGCAACCTCTCCCTTTCCTCACTTTCCCCTCTTATGTAAATATAATTCAATAAATATATATAGAAACTAATGTTATGTACTCCCACACATCAGGATAGGGCCCGTACACCCCTATACCTGACAGGTACAGGCCTGATGTACTTTGTAATAAGCCGCATGCTGGCATCCCGTCGTCGAACGAGAACTAGGAACGACCGGCCACTTCCTCTTTCGTACCCACCAAACAGCCATTGATGTCGGCGAACAATGCGGCCTCGGTAGTGTTTTCTCTTCGTCACGCATGTCTCGTCCATCTCCACAACGTGACCGAATCCACCTAGTACCGGACGATTCCTTCGGAAATAGTGACAGCAGACGTCTCTGAAGTACTGTTCCCACAATACAATGGACGTGTGTCCTATCCCGCGCTTATACATCTTGTCCTTAACCAGGTCAAGTTCTCTCACCCAGAAGTAGGACAATGCGAACACCTTGGCCACTGGAATCCTACACTGGTTGAAGAACGAAACACCTAGGATGGTCGCAAATGGTTTGTTGTTGCCGTTTGGTCCGTAGCGGCAGTCTCTCCTGTAGCAGTATCAGAGCCTTGCGTTCACGCTGAGAGTCATAGGTCGCTGACAGGAGCTGCATCTGGGCTAGCAAGGAGACCGATGGAACGAAGTCATCTTTCGAAACCATCCTTGTCCATCCTAAGCTTCTCGAAGACATCGGCGAGGGTAAAATCTCTTGATTTCTCCTCCATACGACAAAGGGCTATGGCACGGAAAAAAAGCCACTATTCGCTATGAATGTATATGAATGGCTCAAACCTCCACAGGTTGTTTAAAATCTAATTGCCCACGCCAGCATATAGCGCTTCGGGACCAAGTGTTTTCAACGGCTCCGCGCGTTGGTATTCAAAACTAGGCGCGCGGGCAAGTGATTTCCTACATCCTGAACATTGTACAGTCTTGTGATGAAAAATTCGTATTCAATACTATCAAGTACATGTCTAGACAACGTAATTTCTACCTGGAAATAAGCACCTATTCAAGTTCAGCATGAAAAATACCCCCCCCCCCCCACAGATGGGCAAATCCGGGTTCGGGCTCCCTGCCGTAATGCTACCATAACCACATTGAATGGCGCTCCCGAGCGAAGTAAACATCATATTCGTGTTCAGCTTGCCAAATAACCCCTCTAGACGAAGTTACAGGTCCGTGATTTTGACCCCTACCGTATTCCTACTAACTTCAACGAATGGCACTCCCGAGCGGAATAGACATCATATTCGTGTTGCGCGTACCAAACAACCCCCCCCCCCCCTATAAGTTTTAGCGAAATTCACAACTTTCATTTTCTGGGTCAATAGCGCCGTTTTTGTCCCAAAAACGACATCCATCTTCACCCGGTGCCAGCTTGCCAAGCCCTGGCGTCACGATGAATATCACATGTAGATTGGCCGCGTCAACCTGGGATCCTTCCCGTTTATAAGCATGCCCGGTGTGCTGAGGCCGGATCTGACCCCCGGCCTCAGCACCCCCTGTCAATCAATTCGCGCGCCAAAACCCAAGTATTTTAGGCAGCGCACAGTGATCGACTTCGGATCTTCTCAACCGTCATTTCTTCGTCGACCGTTGATTCATACCTTGCTGTCACTTTGTCTTGCATAACTCCGAGGTATACTGGCACATATGCCTTTGTTCTCATTGTTTACATCTCATACTTTCCCATATTTTCGGTTCATTGGTTCCGGTTCACTTTTTGCAACTATTTGCTGTTTCCTTAGTACTCAGTAGCCTTCATATGTTATTTGTTGAGTTTATTTGCTATTTCTTCTCGTGTACTCAGGTCATTGTGCCTCATACTTACCGTGAAGTGTTTATCCTCTTACTGGTGCTCATTATGATACTCAAAGTTCGACTAGAATTGCTTTACGCCTCGTATTTTTGTCTCGCATGTTTTGTTGTTGTTGATTAATGGTAAATAAAGGGCTTAATTACCCAAGTTTGAGGTGTGTGTCTACGGCGGTTGCTATCCGCGACTACTTCAAGCCGATTTGGTATTCCTAGTTCTGTCATTCGTTCACTATTCATTCAGTGTTCGCGCCCCAACCTCAGCTAGGAAGACCCGCGTGGCACACGAAGCGCTCAGACATCCGAAGGCCCAGTTTCAACGAAGCCGGTGAAAGGTGGGATTTCAGTAACCCTTTCACTTCTTCTTTTTCTCTCTTCTTTCCGAGTTTTTGGTCAATTTTTGAGTACGGGGTCCCCCTCGCTCTCCCCCTTTGGTACCCGGGACCCAACTCACCCGGTAGTGCTCCGAAAAAGGAAAAAAATGAAGGTTTTGTGACTCGGGTCTACACATAGCGAAGACCCGAAGTCCTCGTCGCCGACCATCTCTTGCACGGCAGCTATACAGCACTTTACACTTTCGCCAGATTTGTGCTTAGATGACAACCGTCGATCACAAGGCCGAGTCGAAAGCATATCACAGCACTCTTCCTTCAGCGTCCAACACTTCGCGAAACGGGCTTCTTACAGCATTGCCGAGATTAGAGATTTTGTAAAATCCAGAACATCGCGTCATAGGGCTTCCGCAACCGCTTCTGCTCTAGCCGAAGAGTTATATCCACATCTAGAAACCCTACAACAGCCCTTGCGTTGACCTCAAGGCTGGCGCGTAGATTTATTGTCTATAGGTGCAAAACCTGAAAATATGCATCCTGGCCATTTTTGGCCCAGGAATGATAGAGAGACTCAAGGTCGAGAGTCTAGGTGACGCCATCTAAAAGTAAAGTATAAATCGAATGGTAGAAGGTATCTAGACCATAAATCTGTAGGTAGGTGCCAGACTTATCCGATTCAACCGATTCATCCTGATTTCACCCCATTCGCTATTGTTCAGTTTAGTGATTTGACCAATAGCGAACGGGTAAACCGCATGAATCGGTTGAACCTGTGAAGTCTGGCACCTACCGTATTTCAGACAGCTAGGCGAATTTTCGCTGCGCTCCTCTGCGCTGCACACAAACTCGAAAAGCGCACGCGTATTTGGGATGCAGGAACCTTTGAAAGCTTTGTCACCTTCAAATCAAATTCAAATCTGATGCAAAGCTCTGTGTTCCGTTACCTTATCCAAACTGCTTTATTGTTGCAACTTTTGGCTTTAAGGAGTATCTTTATTGAAGGTAAAATGGCGGACCTGTCTTGGTTGGGCCTTTCGGAGCAGAAAGTAAAGGAGACGGAGAAGAACACAGCACTATCCAAGCAGTTGAGTTCAATTATCTCTGTGGCGGAGGAATCGCTGACGAAAGCTGGGAAATCCAAGGATGAACTGACAAAACAACAGGTTTGCAGTTTTCCATTTGCCTTATTTTCCGTTTTCTCAGAACTTGATGTGGTCATTCGTTTTTTTTTTCGAACGGTTAACCTTGACTCTCGGGTGTCGAAACCAATGGAAGGTGTGTGTGACATTTTTCGCATCGTCTTATTTTGCGACATCTGTCTAGATTGTTTTCAACAAATAGAGTGAAATAAGTTTCCGTTTGGTCATAGTGCAGAAATAACTTGCACTTGCTAGCGATCTAAATGATTTTTGTGCCCGAAACAGCTCGAAATTTCAGCGGTGGACTTACTGTGGGAACTGCCTAAGTGCCTTGCTTCATTAGATATCCTCTGTTTCATTTGGACTAGCCCGGGTGAGCGGTTTGGGTGCCGCGTGGTTGCTTGTCTGCACCCTGCGCCGTTCCCGCGAACGTGTTTGTCGGATGATTTTCCTATGCTTGAGCATGGGAAAGGGTTCAGACTCAAGATTCAATCGTTGAATCGGTCTGGAACATTTTAGAGAACACGTTCGCGACGCGATGTAAGCTCAAGCGAGGCACCTGCGCGAGCCTCGAGCCGCTAGAGTCGGGCTCACTCAAATTGGCATAGCTACCATCATTCGCACTCTTGATGAGAACACGAGATACTTGTCCCATCTATCCTCTTCATCCACTTTGATCACTAATTGTTGGTTTCGAAGTGGATTGATAAATATGGATATCTTTATCTCACTATCTTTCGCTCCTTAGAGCACGTCTGTCTCAGCAGTCCACCTAAAACTTTTGAGATGAGCGCATTAGGAGGAGCGGAAGGCGGTAAGCAGAGTGCGCGAGCAGTGGTACCTATGTTAGGGACGTCAACGCGAAGCGTGACTTGTAGAATCGGGGGAGTATGATTGAGACGTCCATACTTAGTTCCTCAGTGCTGTTCAAGTTTATGTAATCGGAGTTTGGTAGTGTAAGCTGTTGAGGTGACGGAGAAGTCGGCATGACATCGATCACTTCGACACAATCCATAAATAAGTTCTTGGCAGCGCAGTACAATCACTGTGCCTTGCAGCCTACCCAAATCCGTTTGTAGCAGTCTAGTTCCTTTGATCGCTTCGGGTCGAAGCTGGATGTGTTTGATGCGTAAGGCATAAAGACAAGGAAAGTTTATTTTTGCAGCGCGCACTACGCTCAAATTCGCTAAGTTTGGCCGCGCGAGTTCATCTGTACTAACGAATTTTACTTTTTTCCCCTTCAAAGAATTTATTTTTGAAAACACTTCTTATAGGGGACCCTGCTGTATCAGCTCGGCACGAAAGTCAAACCTCAATGCGCTGAGAATATTCCACTCGTCGTCTCTTACATCATCGATGGAGGAATTAAGAATGAAGCACAAGTAAGTCCTTGGATTGTGCGGCTTTTCCTATGTTTTCTCCTTTCTGTGAATCATGTACAGAATATTAATGCGGTACCGTATCAGGACGAAGTTGCGAAATCTGTTTTCGTTTTCGAATGTTTTCCTTCAATTTCGCAGGGATTTATACAGCCAATAATCAAATACTGGTGTTATTTGTGCATTGTGCTTTCGCAAAAGGCTATTATTCAGCCTCGGAGTTTTGCCATCTGTTCTATTTTGTTCCTCCACATCCATTGCAATCTTAGTTGTAGATGATCTTATGTTTAACACTCCTGCTCTGCATCTCTCATTACTCGTTCACAAGCGAATCCATTTTGTTTCATACGCTATCATGAGGCTCTGTTTGATTCAAGTAGCATCAGGGTGACGCAAGCTTTCTTATCAAGCTAGAGTTTTCCTTTGAAGGTTAGATAGAGTTTGATTCATGATAGTCTTCTATCAGCTACATAGTAAAAAGGAATTAACAGTAATCGGTCATAGTTTGCTTGTTCTTCCTTATCAACATAACCATGATTCAAAACTGAATGGAATATAGGTGAAGAAGTTTCAAGAGTGATTTCATGTACGTACGTTACTTACGTTTCAACTACTTCGTTTCGTCTCAGCATTCATATGCTGTTTCATAGAGAGACCACAATCATAAATCAGCGGATTTATATTTACTGCTTCTTATGTTTTTGTTCTTCTTTGTGTAGACATATAACTCTTGTTTTGCGCGATGTCGTGCAAAGGTTACAAGAACATTTCAAATTATCGCTTCTATCTAACCGCAGTACTACCTCATAACGGTGTACGTGGCGAAAACGTTTCTCAGGGCTGGGATGAAAACTTGTCCATAGTCTGTCTCTCTTCCACTTGAGTAAACTTTATCTCCGAACAGTTGACTCCTTCTATTCGCAACCCTGCAGAGAGTTTCTGTTTATTCACTTTGGAAAGTTCGCGGCGTACTTGAGATCTTGAGTGTACCATTCCCAGTTTTCGATGGTTTAAGTGTGGCAACCTTCTCTTCTGAGATATTATGTTCATCCTCCTGAGATATTACAGAAGGGAGCTTTCGATGTGCCGACCTCATTTAGAACTGTTGTCATTTTATGGAGCCACAATTTCTCACAGGTGTCTCTTTCAAGGTCACTGCAGCCCTCGACTATCTGCTCGCCAATGCTGTTCACGATGTGGATGTGCCAGCTTTTGAGAAAGCGTGTGGAGTTGGCATTGTTGTTACCCCTGATGAAATCGAGGATACTGTAAGTGACCTTATTCTAGAATTATTTGAGGCAATTCCTTTGTGTGCTTCATCCTTAGCTATTTCCTTGCAGTGTTGTTTTTCTGTGCCGCTTTACGTCCAGGTTTATGTTGGTATTTTAGGTATCCGTTGTCATGGAGAAGTATAAAGAACAGTTGAAAGCCGACCGTTACACATTCAATGTAGGAAAGCTTTTGGGTTAGTACAGTAATGTTGTCATTTTATACGCTGCAACTTTTCTTCAGTTTATCTGGTAAGAGGCCATGATGACCTCGGGTCCTTCCTGCAAAATCTGCCGTCTTCAAATAAGTGTTTAGAACTATTTGAGTAGTCTCGAAATTTTTGCACAATTTCCTCACCATTGTCTGCTTTTTGGTATTCTTCCATGTTATGTGGTATCATTCCTCTTTTTTCTACTGCTCCACATACGGAGCATCGAAGTCAACTTTCATCATTCGAAGTTTTTTCTTACCGAAAATTGAAATCGCAAGCGTGATTCATTATTCGGTTTGTAGTATGAACGAATATCAACGTTGGAAAGCAATTTACCTATTTTCCCTGGAATAATTCTGCAAGAGCGTGGTTTTTTTTCATATGTGTTGAACTCATAGACATCCCTTAAAGGTGAGGTGCGCTCACAATTACCTTGGGCTGACGGATCGTATGTGAAGAAAGAAGTCGACCTCCGAATTCTTGAGCTGCTCGGTCCGAGAACTGTTGACGATCTTGTGCCGAAAAAGAAGGTAAAACTAGTTTTCTCTCACCTTTTTATGACTTTGCGTCGGGATGTAACCATCCTAGGTGGGAATTGTAATTTACAGGTGAAGAGGGAAGAGAAGCCACAGGAGAAGAAGTCCGTCTCCAAAAAGAAATCTCCAGAGCCTAGGCAAAATGGCAGTGCCACCATTCAAGAAAATGGCTTCCCAGATGGTGAGTAGTAACTATTTTAACAACTTTTCGTTTATCAATCATGCTTGTTAGAGGGCGATGGAGCAGCAACTATCGAGGAGTTGATGCGGACTCGAGCACACTTCCATAAGGTATGCCAGCTCTTGATCTTATCATTGCTACGCTCTTACTTCAAATTGTAACAGGTTGGCGAGAACTATATGACAGACGGCTATGTCACCACACCGAAGACCAAAGAATTGTTGAAAAAACATGTGGAAGCTACTGGCGGAAAGGTGACCTTTTGTCAGCTTTTGCTTTTATGTATGGCCCTCGCAAGAGTCAGTTTTTAGGTGATTACCAGGTTTCCACCGGAGCCGAATGGTGTGCTTCATATTGGTCACGCAAAGGCAATCAACATCAATTTCGGGTATGCCAAGGTCAGTTTTACCGGGATTATGTTCGCACTCTAACACAGCAGTCGTCGTTTGAAGGCTCATAATGGTTTGTGTAACTTACGATTTGATGATACAAATCCTGAGAAGGAAGAAGAGAAGTTCTTCACTGCGATTGAGGATATGGTCCACTGGTTAGGTAAGTGAGTGAGATGCATTGCGTCCATTCTCATCTTAGTCCTTTCATTATTTTTTTATCTTCAATTTTGTACAGGTTGTGGTGGTTATGATTTAACGCTTCGTTTTTTCCTCTGTTTTCGAATACAGTTTTCTTTTTCTTTACTCGTTTTTGCTTGCTTGATGCTGTTGCAAAAGATTCATCCAACCTGATTATTAGATTGAATGTGTTGTTTCTCGTTCGTTGAAATGATACTAGTTGTTTTTGTTAGTTGCCGCTCTCGATATAAGTATTTTTGAGGCTACACTCCTGCTAGAATTACCCACTCTTCTGATAACTTCCAGCAACTGTATGAAGTGAGTTTGGCATGTCTTATTTGTTGTTGTTTGTTTCGAAAATTTCACTTAGTGGGCCGTAGAACTAATCAAGAGAGGACATGCTTACGTTTGCCACCAGAAAGTGGAGGATATCCGAGGGTTTGACGTTCAGTTATCACCATGGCGGGATAGGCCTATCGAAGAATCGTTACAGTTGTTTGAGGTGAGCAGTTTTGCCTTCTCCATATGAGAAACTTTCTTTTTTCACTTTTCGATATACTGTGGGTTCCTGAATCAGTACATAATTGCGCAAAAAACTTGCAACACACAACTCTAAATTACAGTTTATGTGACTCTGAATATGCGTGATGTTTTGCTCTTAGTTTGATCATATTATACATACTTCTTGATTAAACCCTTTCCACAAATACCAGTATATAACACGATGCTTGTACCTGAAGCCTTTCTTGTTTGGACACTTAAACTAATGTTACGATACGAGAACAGAGGTCTTGGCGATAGCTGCATAAGGCAACGATGCTTTGAATTTTGCCTCATAAATTTGCCGAAACTTCAACCAAGTACGTTTTTGCATTGGTAATCTCATACACTTGGGGACACTTCCACCAGATAGGAAAGGCAAATCCTGCCAATGGTGAAGATCGTGGCTTGTCGCCTTAGTCTTGACCTTTCTATCATTCTCTCCTGCAGGATATGAAGAATGGCAAATTCGATGAGGGAGAAGCTACTCTGCGGTTGAAAATGACGCTGGAGGAAGGAAAGGTGGATCCAGTGGCTTACCGTATCAAATATGTCCCTCATCACAGGACCGGCAATAAATGGTAGGTTCCAGCTCAATGTTCTTCTTTCAATGATCAATAAATGTCTTTACAGGTGCATCTATCCGACCTACGATTACACTCATTGCCTTTGTGATTCTATAGAAAATATCACGCATTCGTTGTGTACGAAAGAGTTCCAATCAAGGTAGGCAAACCGGTTGTGATATCTTCTACGTTTGTTACTGACTGCTGTCTTTTCTAACAAAAGCTCCGCTCTGTGGCACGCTATTCGTATAATATTCTTTATCAACCGAACCGCTGCCCACACTTTTTCCCATCATGTATACATGGTCGTATAACATCGTGTCTGGTTCTGTTCATAATATATCCACATGGATTCCATTCCTGCGCTATTTCGCTACGATCCTGCTAGAAGGTGCTGAATGTAGCATTCTGCTCTACTGCTTTCTCTATGCTTCCACTGAGAGGCTTCTGTGCTAGTTGCTAGTTGCTTCTGTGCTGCTTCTCAAATGGATTCATTCTTGTCGTATTAAACTGATGCAAAAGTAACGAGCACTATTAATTAACTTTTGCGATGGAACTTCCGCCGTACAAAGTTATTTAGTAAGCCTGAGATCCTCATGTACCGAAATGCAGAAACGTTGGTTTGCAATCTTGTACATTTTGCCACATCTAGAAGCAAAAGAGAATTTATGATTATTGGCTTTCAGCAGCTCTACCGGATACAAGAAGTCTTTTTGTTGCTGTCTTTGATTTTATGTGGTTTCCTTTTTACTTTCTAAGATCATATACCGCAGTTCCTATTTCTGTAGCTTGGCTCCTTGAGTGTACAGCTGAGTATTTGTGTGATTATCTGTGTATTGCACACAATGCCCATCTTTGGCGTCCCCATTCTGTATCTGTAATCGCAAAAATGCAAGAGCTCGCTAACATCACTTTGTGGCAGGTCGATGCCCAAAAAGGAAAGAAAACGTTCAAAAACACTGAAAATACTTACCTGAAAAAGCGTCGCTTCTAGAATCCAGCGTGGGGACGCTAAGGGTGAACAGTGTGTGCAATGACACACATGATCGTATGAGATGACTCGAGTGTAGCGGCAAGCTCAAAGTTTGACCCGCAATAAGGCGAGTGAATCGTTTTCTAATCGGGGCATAATTTTCAGTTGTCTCTAGAGTTTGGTTAGGGTTTGTAGACATTCACATCTTACCACAAAGCTTATTTATCTTACTACCAAATATCTGCGGAAGTATATTTGAGGAAAAAACCGCATTTTGACATTCAAAGATTGGACATTCCGGATTTGCTTCGATGGCGAATCGTTGCAAACTGTGATAGAAAGGGCAAAAAGAAGTCCACTCATTGTCGTATAAAATTATCTTGTGTTTCGATTACCTAGCACTGATAATTCAAGAAAGCATCCATTACCCCTGCATAGTTTAATACAATCCTTACTCTCCTTATTCAGCCGTTAAGAAAGATTTCTTATTTTTACATCCAGTACTTACTAATTTGGGAAAAAAAAACCAAAACAAAACTACAGTATGATTTCGATTTTGTCAAACTTGGGCTTCTTTGCAGATTTAAAAGGCTCGAGTGTTGAAGCTTAACCCAAAGTCCTTGCATATGTTGTCTCAATGTCACCATTAGAAGAAAACTTCGCAATTGTAGCGTCGTCATAGGTTGGCACGGAAGTTCTGCCGCAGCATTTTCAGGGAATATCCGAAAAGTACTCAAAATTTGTTCATTTTCACAAATAAAAGCTTATAATACTTATTTCCAAATTTTGTAACATTATTTGTCCTGGCATTTTATTAAGTTGTCCCAAAAGTAAACTCCTTTTCTACAAAGTCATGCTGTTTTTGTTTGTCTTAGCAGACTTGGGGTATCATTTGATAGAGCGAAGCAAGCTCTAAATGACCATCAAGGATCTGCCTAAATCATTATTCAGGTAATGGAGCCAAAATCGTATAAAAATCTATCACCTGAAGTATGTTTCGCGAAAAAAATTCGTACGGATCTCAAATTTGGTCGTTGTACAGTAGACACGTAGTAGTACTCAAATATACCTTTACTGGATTTTCTCCGCGGTTAGAAAACGAAAAAAATGTCCAAAATGGCAAACTCCGCCCTCAGCTCCTCCCACATATGTCATTATATGCTGCAAGCCTTAGCAAGCATAACCTGAAAATTTCACCTCTGTTTATGCTTTGGTATTTGAGAAACACCGAGTATAACATGAAGAAAACTAAAAAAGTTGCATTTTTGGATTTTTGACCATTTTGATTTCTCAGTTTTGAGCCCAGGGAGAACCCAAATACATTTTTGATTACTACTTGTCTACTGTACAATGACCGAGTTGAAGGTCCCTAGACATTTTCTGGAAGAAGATCCGATTTTTACATACCTAAAAAAGGTTGATTTTTGCTAAAAATTTTACCAATATTATGAATTAGGCGCATCTTCAAATGATACTTTAAGTCTGCTAGGAAGACAAAACAGTTCGTTTTAAAAAGGATTTTGCTTCTGGGACAACCTAGTACTTGGATCTATAGCCTACATAAAGATGTCGATCGGCACACATTTTGCTCCCCCCCCCCCCCCGATATGTAGCTCTTGAAACTTATAGTATCGACTGTTCCAAATGTATAGCAATTTCAAATTGTTGGCGAATAACTCAAATCGTGTTTCACGCAATTTTCTTCTGTTTGATCTCTAAGTTAATCTTACAAGGAATGCTTGTTTAGTCGAAGTGGCCTTTTTTGATAAGATGTACACCATATTGTAAAGCATAAAATGCTGATTCCAAATCTGCTTTCCGTGTCTGCAGAACGTTTATGGACGAGAAGTTATGAGCGTTTTTTGAAGTCAAAAATTGAATGTGCAAGTGTGACAAAAATAACCGTAATACTTTTTCTAGCTCTTCAACGGAGCAGTGATAATCACCAAAACACTTCACTTGAAAATTACTCTAAAATAAAAATTATGCCACACTTGGTTACGTTATTTGAAGGCTAGTAAGATTTTAACAACTCATTTTATTCAAAATGCACATTCAATTTTTGGCTCCAAAAAACGCTCATAACTTCTTGTCCATAAACGTTCTGCAGATAAAAAAGACAGTTTTGGAATCAGCGTTTTATGCGCTTTAATATGGTATACATCTCATTTGGAAAGGCCACTTCGACTAAACAAGCTTCCCTTGTTAGTAGTAGCCGCTCAAATACTGGTACAAGCGCACGACTTCTTCTTTCAATTGAATTCAGAAATTATGCAACTGAGAGTTGATTTCAAGATGCTTTTATATATTAAAATTGTGCGACATATTTTACACGCCAATTTCTACTGATATAGCTTGCGTTTCTTGACAATCAGTCCTCGCTTCATCTTCATGGCCTATTCTATGGGCTACTGCTCAGAAAAGAAATTTTCAACTTGATAGCCGTGCCAATAATCTCTAGCGCGTTTTTAAACAAAAAAAAGGGTTATTGGGCTGTGTCAAAATTTTGCTGAGAGTAGGTCTCGTAATATCTTTTTTTTTTAGCGATTTTAATCAGCTAAGTAACGATTGTTCCAGGCGAAGCTCATACTATGCCCTTTGCAATATGTTGGATATCTATTGTCCCGTGCAGTGGGAGTACGGTAGGCTGAACGTGTACTACACCGTCGTCTCAAAGAGGAAGATCCAGAAGTTGATCAGTTCGAAGATAGTGAAGTGAGTTTTGAAATCGTTTTTTCCTTTACTTCCTGAAAAGTTGTTTGATCAAAGAATTTTCAAGAAGTGCAGTGATAATGATATAATTGTGGGTCAGCGTTACCTTTACATTCTCCCTTCTTTTTCTCTGATAAGCTCCTTGTAATGACGTTATTCGTCGTTCAGGGTTTTTCTAGCATCCCTAGTTTGAGAATTGAGGAAAGTAGGGTAATAACGATGCGATGAATAGAATGACGTTAGATGACGTTTGTTTCTCTGCTGGAGCCTTAATTATGCTGGAAAAGGTCGTCATAGTGATGTCATTGCTGCGGAGCACATGGCTAAAGCGTGCTCTGGATATTGTTTGCGGAAGTGAGCATGAAAAACAAGGAGGAACTTCCTCTTCAAATTGGATTGTCGACTTCTGAATATGAAACTAGTATAGGATAGGTGCAAGAAAAGCGGCCAAATTTGGAAGTATCAGTTGTATTAAGGCTTTTCTATGCAAACAACATATTTGCGTCAAGGTGCAAGTTTCTCCTAGTATATAGAGTGCACATCGAACAATCTGCATAGAACAATCTGTTTGAAAGTATGCATGTAATCTATTTATCACTTGATCGTGGAAGAAAAAAAAAGATTTATCCTGGGTTACAGGGATCCTTTTATCGATCAGGAGTATTTTTTTCTATAGAACTAAGTGCCCACTTAAAGTCAAGAGTTTATTTTGACTGGTTACAAGCAAAATAATTACCAGTATGTGCATGGTATTCCAAACTACAGAACTTCATTAATAATAATTAACTTTTGGTCAAATATTGGTTCTTGGTCCAATATGGAGCTTTCAAAAGACTAATTTTATGAGTCGATTGACTGATTGATTAATCGCGATCGATTTAATTAAGCTAATTGATTTATCAGAAAGTCATGGTCCATGTACATCCAGACAGTCTCCATGAAATGAATGCGAGTAAATAAATTTGCTTTCGACTTTCGTGCTGTCTTTGATCAGAAAACAAAAAATTTGCTCATACTTCATTGACAAACTTGTAAACAATTTGGATAATGCTTCAAGTTCCATGTTGTTCCAGATCATTTTAAAAATTTTTTGTGATAAGGCTACTGAATATGGGAATGGCCATCATTCGCTTCTCCTCCTAATAAAAATTACTGGGCCAGTACTGATGTCCACATGTGCATTCTTTATATTGCAATGCTTTTTGAAGTTCGATTCGGTTAGGCTCTTGATATTTCCATTTCAGTGATTGGGATGACCCACGATTGTTCACCCTGACCGCACTTCGACGTCGTGGCATACCGCCTGAGGCCATCAATGCTTTTGTGGCAAAACTAGGATTGACGATGACTCAAATGGTTATTGACCCCCATGTGCTTGACGCTACTGTTCGAGATCATCTTAATGTTACTGCTCCTAGGTGGGACATATCTTGAGTCCTGAATTTCCTGGGGAAGACGATTAAACTTGCAGGACAATGGCTGTCTTGGAAGGCTTAAAAATGACGATCAAAAACTTTGATGAGATGAACTTACCGTCAACAGTTACTGTGCCCGATTTTCCATCAGATCCTCAATGCAGTAAAAACCATGAAGTTGCGTTCGATCGTGTTGTCTATATAGAGAGATCGGATTATAGGCAGGTAAGCGAGCCAATTTTATATGTTTCTTATGGAGATCTTACGCATGCGGGTGAGGACGCCCGGATCTCCTGGGCTCCATTTGTGAGGTAATAAAGCCAGAGTACTTGCACATAAGTATTGTTGACTCATAGGAATTGATTTGGTTCACAAACTTACCAGCATTGCCTCTCAGATATAAGATTTTCGAAACCAGCATTCTGCGTTAGAATAGGTATAAATTTGTACAGGAAGGAAGAGCTCTGATCCTTCTTTGGCTAGAGCAGGTCCTACTGCCTCTTGGCTGTGGTCTTGATCATGAACAAGTTGATGAATACTGGTGGAAATGTGATCTGCTCTCACTCATCTAGTTTTGTGTCATAGCAGAATAGTAACTATCATCCAGTCACTGTCAAGATGTGCACTATGGCGAGCGTATGTTTTGTTCTTTCTTATAACTTTTGCTCTTTAGTAGAGAAAGTCATCCCTATCTCTTTCTTGACTTTTCAGTAAATGCCTGAAGGAACGTATTAGTGTCGAACATGAATGCACTCCGTTTTGTTCCATTTCTCAAACATGGTTCAGTGTGTGAGGTTGTCCCATCAGTTTGGTCCACTTCAACAATTATCTCTGACTCTTTTTCCAAAACGCAAATGCTGCAAGATGACCAGCGGACAATGCCCTGTTTATGATCCATTTGGAGTGTGAAAGCAAAGTTTAGAGATTATGATCAAGGTAAAATTGGGTTCTTTCTTGGGATAGTCCCATGTACTTTTCAAGTGTTCTTTGATTGGCGCATACGTCTAATGCCATGCTTCAAATCTTTGTGAAAGAAAAATAGGCTCAAAATATGGGGTTCTCATCGCTGCCAGCTTGTATATGTTATGATATATGCCTACTTTGTGAACTGAAAGGTCCTTGTTGACCCTCCTATTTTTGAATTGAGAGTGCCAAAGTCAGTGAATTGATACTTAAAGTTAATCCAGTCAATATTTACAACCGTTTGTTATTCTCGTGATGATAATATTCAATTACTAGTAAAGAGCCAGACAGACGAACATATAGTCAACCAGACAGACAGTTCGAGACAAATAGATAAACAAACAAACAAACATAACTATATAAAAACTGGCGTATCTACAGTAGAATTCCGAGCTGCATAGCTCATATCATTTACTTATCTTTTGCGAATTCTGCCGTTGGATCGAACGCCTTTCTCATTATATCTGGTAAGAATTTAAGTCCCAAAGTGAGGATCATATAGTACATCAAGATTGGAAATGGAGTTGCTTTTATATATGAGTTTAGCTTACATTGGATAAACGAGAAATGCTTGTAACTACTCCTATAAGCTTCTGACTGTGAAGATTTGTTTGATAATTTTGCATCCCCCTCTCGAAATCTTCTGATATTTTTATTCGCGGAATTTGGCGATGTTGATAATGGCATCTTTACGACAGTCATATACATTCACATGAACATAATGGTCGCTTCGATGGGCATAATGACTTTTCTGGGAATAATATCAATATGATAGTGATAGTTGTTTTAGTGTCTGAACGATTTTGTTCGTTCATATAGAAAACTGAAGAAATGAATACACGGAACATTTAGAAAAAATGTACATGAATGCTTACTTCTTTGAAAAACAATTATCAGTTGGTGTGAAATGTTTACTGCGGCAGCAAAGTTTTCTTTATAAATCAGATTCAAAATGTCATAAAGTTTTTCATTTTTTTGGGTGATTGAAAGTGATGATGGATTGATCAGAAGTCCAGTGAGCAAATTTTTCCAAATAGAGAATATGTATTGCGTAAGCCGAGCCAAACGAGTAATTTTGTCTATGGAATCTATGCGATGAACTAAACGATGCCTTTTCTCATGACTTTCTTCGATGTGCTAATGTCATCATCTCAAGCAGTCAGGGAATTCTCAACTTTCAAGTGATTCCCTAGAACAGCGCCTACAACTTCTTTTCCGAACTTTTTCATTTTATCTTATTCACATTTTTTAAAAATATATCCTGCAATCCCTTTCTTCTTACAAAGGAAGGATATTTGGTGCCGTGGCCATTCGTGATAAGACATACCACCAGATGCGTTTTAAGATGCTGTTTCAAATCTGTTTTCGGTATCTATTAATAGATTGTCTTAAACAGTTATGGATTTTTTCCCTCTCTCAGTTGCATTAATTTTCAATAAAAAAGAAGATTTGGATTCCAATGATTCTGACCATGTTCAGTGTGCTACCTAAGTTATGCAGAAAGCATAGCTTATTTAGACAGTCCTTTAGCAGGTAGCGAAAACTTCATTTAGTGGTGTTTTATCGCAGAAGACCACAACTAAGTATCCTTCCCTTGTTGGTTATGTTAAATCCGGTTAAAAGCATATGTTTGAGGGACAGAAGATAGAGTCAAATTTGTAAACTACGACGTAGAAGTAGCCTTTGAATCTTTGAAAAAGTATCTGGATCGGGTATAGTCATATTTCGGTTATAATACTTATGGTCCAATTGAGCTTTTTGTATACTCAGTTCTGATTTTGTCAATAATTTTGTTTGGATGACGAAATCTCATTTATTTCATTATAACCATAGAACTGATGTAGATTCAGATGCCCAAAAATATTGCTTAGCGCTTTTGTATGCGAGTTATATTACATAATGGCTGTGAGACCCTGTCTCATACCTCCATTTCTGCATCTTTTTAAGAATCAATAGATCTTTTTCATTTCAACAAAGATTTTGTGCCTACGATACAGCTTTCTTTGCTATTTGAAGAGTATCGAAAAAATGAGGGCCGCCTTTATCGTGAGTGAACAAACAAATGTAAAAGAAAATTTGTACAGACCGACATCGTTCAGGCAAGCATCTGTGAAGAAATTTATGTAGCCTGAGGATGCTACCTTATTTTGGAAATCGTGTCTTGAATCAGTGCCAGAGTGAGGATATGAAACTCTTCTTGAGCTTAGGACAATAACATGGAAAGACGCAAGATTTTTACAATGCAGCTCAAGCTTTGTGATATCTTTTAGTATGTAGTAGTTCTATCACCAGGGTCGGCAGTGGTGGCTTGTAAGCAAGCTGAATATCGTTCTGGGGCAAAAAGCAAAGGGGTTATCGTTTATGTGGCTGATAAGACACAAAAAGCGACGTTTTTTAGTCGACATTCATTTCAAAGGTTTTACGTTCATGGTTCAGGGTCAAAGGGGACTTCGAAAATTTGGGAAAAGTCGAGGGTACTTCGTTTTTTTGCACTTCTGAAAAACCACATCGTGTCGAGCCCTGTCTGTCACTCCTTGTGTAGCTCTAAATGTAACTTTTCTAAAAATGCTATTAAATCTGGATTTACTCATTACTTTCTTCTATCATTCATGCTCAGTTTTTCTTTTACCAAGAATCAGTTTGTGTAAGTGATAAGATGTCGCAGATTGATAATCTTGCCACTGTTCAGCATTACAAGCTGTTTCAATCAGTGATGCATTAAGAAAGTAAAATTGTTCAAAATTGAAGGGGGTGGGGGGAAGAGGACTTTGGAGCTGTGTAGTACCGTATTCTGTTCATTTTTTTGCTATAATTTTGGACTCTGAACGTTTCCCGATTTTGCAGAATAGTAAGGTAGCGCAGCACGAATGGTACGACGTGCAATCAGCTTTTTGATTTAGGATTGTGCATTGATTGGTTGGTTTATATGCGCAAGAGAAAGTTTTTTGTTAGGCGAAAAATTATTATTATTAGAGTGCTCCTAATGCTGTCTTAGGGCGCTTCTAAAATTCTTTAGTAAATCTATGAGATTGTAATTAGTGAACCAGTAATCTAAAGATGCTATTTGCAAGAGCGTTCGCTTCGACCGCCACGCGGTTTCCCGCTAATTGCAGATTTTTGAGTTGCGCTTACGTTTCTTTATATTAGGTCGTTTCAAAAGTAATTTCGCTTTTTTTAAAGGGGCGCCACATTTGATGGAACGAAAGTTTCTGAGAAATCTTGGACGCATTCGATGCAGCATTTCATTCTCTTTCTAACGGTTATCAAACGGTTGCAGAACCATCATTGAGGTTTCAGAAAATAACCAAAATCTGCGACCCATGCTTTTTGGGATGGTCAAATTTCACAATCTTTTAGAACTTTCACATCAACCCTTAAAAGGAGCTCAGATAACGATTGGAAAGAGCAAACCTTATAGAACACAGTACTATTTTTTCTCCTTTCTTTAGCTTGTCATACATTTTTAACTGAATTTTAACTGATGCTACCAATTTTCATACTTGGGCAGCTAAATCCTCGTGAAACATCAAAAGAAGAGCAGCTCGCGCACTATTCGATGCAGCATTTTCTCCTCTTTCTGACAGATATTTTTTGTTTCCGATTCATTTAGTTTCCGGGAATGAAATCATCATAACTCCTTTTTTAAGCGAGCCCTAGGCTGTACCCGAAAAACTCGAAATTCGATATTTCGAACCCGTAAACCCTCACATACTTTGTAAAATTAATGCTAACTCATAGTTCCATCTTGGTAGTCTCAAATTCTGAAAAATTATGATGTTTGATGCGATTATGGCTGAGGTGGGCCTGTCAAAATCCGATGGTTCTGTTAAAAAATCTTTTATAAAAATACGGCGAGCTACAAGAAAGAGAAAAAAGTAGTAGTGTATTTTATAAAGTTTGCTCTATCGAATCGTTACTTGTACTCCTTCTGAGAATTGATATGAAAGTTTTGAAAAATCGTGAAACTTGACCATCTCAAAAAGCATGGGTCGCAGATTTTGGTTATTTTCTGAAAGCTCATTGAGTGTTTTGCAACAATTTTGTAAACTTTAGAAAGAGAATGAAATTCTGCATCAAATGCTTCCAAGATCTCTTTGAAACCTTTGTTCCATCAAATGTGGCGCCCGTTTGAAAAAAGCGAAATTACTTTTGAGACGACCTAATATATTAGATAATGAGGATCAGGTTCTGTCTAAACGAGGTTAACTCTTCTCTTTGTGCCATTGCTGTGAACATCTCAAATCAGTAGTTAGGCGAATCGG